CCTACCCACTGGGCTGAGTGCAAAATCAGGCCTTTAGGGCCTGTGACCCTCAAGGTCGGGCCTTTAGGCCCTGGTGTGTCCCTCCGGCCCTAAGTCGGGTCCGGTAGGACCCGTGTGGCATCGAAGATGTAACACGTGGCAAGGTGAGACGAGACAAGTGAAGGTTAAGTGTTCTTCTGGAGGAAACAAGCTCCTGCTGAAACCACAAGATATGGACTAGAATGCTCGAGGACGACGCTTGTTACTAAGATATAATAAATACTTTTAGCAGAGTCCAACACGAGGTCAGCTACCTGCGACGCTGCATTCTCACTGCAAAATATAGGGTAGGGCAAGCTGACTCCCAAACACGAGACTCTTTTAAGATCACCACTGTCGCTGACGGGCTCCCTAGATCATGCCCGTATGCAGGGGTTGGCTGTGGAGAATCTGTCAGCTGCATTGGAAGGCCTAAGGCAGTCACAAAATAGGAGCCTCCCACTGCCAACCCCCACCATCGGATTCCAATCCCCTCAGCAATAGTCCATTCCTGCCACCGACACCCATAGTCTGTAGGGTTTGTGGAATGACAAAGCAGACGTGCCACAGTGGCGCCAAAATGGCCATCATCGTTATTACAGCCCAGTTGGCCACAGTAAATTTTGTTGCGTAAACGCATCAGTGCCAGAAAGGTCATCACTGTTTGTTACGGGCCACGGGTCAGCATAAGCTGTGACCCCGCAACAAAATCGGGAATTGAACTCCCTTACACACTTGACGAGATGAGATCACACTGCACTTCAACTCCACAGAAAATCGGGAACTGAAGAGTCACATACAAAAAAAAAATAGTTGATGAAACCAGAGAAAAAGGTGATGGATAATTGAAGGCCCGGCCTCCCTGAGCAATATGCAACAATCGGCTCAAAAAACCGTCCAGTGGACAGCAAGTCCTCACTGGGTATGGCTGCACACTCTCTCCTCTCTCCCCTTGAGCAGTGCTGAAAGAAGCTCCTCTCTAGTCTCACCAAGCAGCAAAAATATCACGAATGAATTCTGAACGAGGGTCTTGCGCCAACTCGTCACTTTTGAGGAGCAGCTACTCGCCTAGGCCTACAGTGTCCGCATACCAAAACAAAAGCCTAAAACTACCAGCCAAAAAGACCCTGCCACTATGCTAGGCAATTAGAGACTGTACACACAGGTCCCGGGCTCAAACTCATCTGTTTCATAACAGTAAAAAAAGAAAGCAAAACAACTGTACACACAGGTCCCGGGCTCAAACTCAGCTGTTTCATAACAGTAAAAAAAGAAAGCA